TGCTACGATACCTTGTATGCTGGTGACCAAGTATCATCGATATCCATCAGGCCCCCGAAGTCACAGGGTTAGTGCAGTGACTTCGTCTGGGAATAGATAAATGCAGCAACAATCCTTCAAAGTGAATCGATTATTCCTCCCACTCATTTCATCCATTGTTCAGATTAAGAGTTCTTATCCGGAAATTATTACCATGGCAATCGGGTACATCCTCGGCCTCCTTGCCCAGACTCGGCTGGGTTTTGCGTCTGAAACCTCCATAACTGCGGGATGCAGTCAAGCAGTGAGATATCCTCAATTTTATGAGCCCTCTAAAGAGTTACCTGTACTGATCGACCAGCTAGTGCTCTCAACTGATGGAGGAGTTCGGCTCTGCCGTACATTTAGGTAGCAACGATCCTTCCTTTGCGATATGGGACATGAAGCAGCAGGAGGTTCTCCCCGCCTGCCGCGTAGAGCCGACCACCGCGTCTCAGGTCTCGAGAGTCGTTGAGATCACTGTCAACAACTGGTGCCGATTCGCGATCAAAGGCGGGGGACACATGACAAATCTGGATGCTTCTAACTCAGTCGGTGGTATCACGATCGACTTGCACCTCATGGACCATATTGAGATTTCAGAAGACCGCACCAAAGCTAATCTCGGACCTGGTCATGTTCTTCGCGACGCTTATTTGGCACTGGAGAAGCATAATCTCACGATGGTTGGCGGGAGAACTGCGGATGTTGGACTTCCCGGATTCACGATCGGCGGCGGACTCTCCGATCTTGGACCGCAATACGGCTTGGCTGTGGATAATGTGTGGGAGTATCAAGTAAGCACCTCGACTTCATAGGCAACACACGTTGCGTTACCTTACAGAAAGCTCCTAGCTGACTCACTATACAACAGCTTGTGCTGCCAAATGCCACCATTGTCAATGTCTCGGAGACTGCCCACCCAGACCTGTACTTTGCTTTGCGAGGGGGTGGTAATAACTTCGGCATCATCACCAACTTTCGTTCGCGGCTTGTGCCGCAAGGACAGAAATGGGGTGGTGCAAGGACCTATCATACTAACTTCACCGACCAGCTCGTTGATCAGTCTTATCAACTTGCGACCAACTTAGCTGCCGACACATACATGTCCTTTTGGACTCGCAACTCTTACGATGTTGCCAACGGCCGATTCAGCATGAGCGTCTCGCAAGCGTACTATGAACCTATCGTCGAACCACCTGTCTTCACCGAGTTAAACAAAATCCCTTATGAGACGAGCAATCTTCGAGTCGATTGGATGAGCAACCACAGTCTTGACAGTGTCTCTCCGCATGGACTACGGTAAGCCGACCTCCGAACCCTCAGCACATTTGCCGGCCCATTGAGACAGGTTCTGACTGCCCGGAATGCAGTCGCGTCTATGCTTCTTTCACTTTCCGCCCTTCCCGCGTTCTGCACAAGCAGTTGATCAACATTTACTCAGAAGAGATTGAGGGCGTCAAGACCACTCCGGGTCTCTCGTCCTCGCTTGTTGTGCAGGCCTTGCACAAGAATGCTATCGATGCCATGAAGGTCAGAGGAGGAAACTCTCTCGGAGTCGAGTCCGATGGCCCGCTGATGAGTTACTTTCCGCCATTTATCTTACGTACTATCGAAGTAGAGCACATACTGACTCTCCTTACCACCGAAAAGTTGCGCTTCTGACTCTTGGATGGTCTAAGTCGGAGGATGATGCGGCCATGTACGCCTATGCCGACCGGATCATCAACCGAGGCAAGGCAGAAGCCGACTTGATGGACTTGCTGCATCCTTGGCTGTATATCAACTATGCGAATCATAATCAAGACCCATTTTCAGGATACGGAGAGAACAATAAGAACAGGCTCCAAGAGATCCAGAGATCAATTGACCCGCGGGGAATCTTCACTTCTCAAGGCTTGGTTAGAGGATCGTTCAAACTGAACTGAGTCTTGTTCAAGACCCATCCACTTCGTAGGCTACCTAGATAGAATGACGGGTCAACAAATTCCAGCCTTCAGAAACGCGTGCTCTATGTACATAGACGGATCTTGAGCCGAATTATAATGAACGACGATATGTCTCGGCTGTACCCAGCTAAATTCCGCTGGTTATATCTCAAATTACGACTCAAAGATGCTTGTATCTTGGACAGACTGCCATTCCACGTATACCAATCCGCGAATGGACAGAAATAGTAGCTCCTGCCCCGCGTTTGGAAGAGCAAGTTGTCATAGACTGAAGCATGACGTCGATCCCACAATTAGAACGTCTTATGGTACAAAATCCCACGCGGCTACCCGGATGTCATCATTCGGATTCAGTCTTGTCATGCCATCGGGGCCGGGCCGGTAGATTCAGTTGGTCGGAACCCGCCGGGCCGGTTGACCCACATCAAATGGGGCCGGGCCGGCCGGGGAGCGAGGAAATTCCCGCTCTATCCCGCGCGCATGATGGGATAGAAAGGTAACCTGGAGTACCCATGACTAATAGAATGGAGCCGAGGATAATTCTCGATTGATCGAGCCCGCCTGCACTCGTAAAGTGTCGACTTAAGGGAAGTTGTTTCGACTGCGGGGTTGTATATAAACTGCCCTCCGTAGTTCCGAGGTATTCACTAGCGCCAATATCTCCTGCATGAGCCTCGGTGGATTTGATGCACGACCGGCAGCCGGATCGCCGTCGATTCGCGTCCCCGCAATGCTCCGAAGCTCGGCTGTCACCGCTACGGGAATGGGGTGATCCAAGGAAACCAAGAAACATGACCGAAGACGGCGGGATATATAAAAATAAGTTCCCGTGTTGTAGAGTCTTAAACCAGCTATTCCACTTTTCTTCCTCCCTCCCAATAAATCGCACAAAGCCAGACATAAGCGCACATCACATCACTGAAGGCATAAAATGACAGGCGTCTTCGCAAAGCTCCAGGACAAGAGCCTGCTGGTTTCTTCCGGTCTCGTCGCCGGCGAGTGGAAGAATGGCCAGGATGGCAAGACTTTCCCAGTCTACGAACCGTCAAGCGCGACGGTCCTTCAAGAATGCGCCAACTTAAGCCGGCAAGACTTCGTCGATGCCATCGAGAGCGCTAAGAAGGGGTCAGCCAAGTTCCACGAGTCAACAACAGCAAAGGAGCGAGGTGCCCTGCTCAGAAAGTGGTTCGACTTGGTTATTGCCAACGCTGACGATTGTGAGTGGATTTGCAACTTTAAATAACCACCTGCTCAGGAATTGACATACTGATGCCCTCTCAGTGGCCTTGATCCTTTCCTTGGAGAATGGCAAGACCTCTGCCGAGGCTAGAGGCGAGGTGGTTTACGCTGCCTCGTTCATCTCTTGGTTCGCTGAGGAAGCGACACGTTCGTACGGCGACACTATCCCTTCATCCTACGCCAACACCACCGTCTTGACATTCAAGGAGCCAGTGGGGGTCTGCGGAATCATCACCCCTTGGAACTTCCCAGCAGCCATGATCACCCGCAAGATTGCCCCGGCCTTTGCGGCGGGATGCTCAGTCATCATCAAGCCACCAAGCGAAACCCCTTTCAGTGCACTGGCTCTGGCCAAGTTGGCGCTCGCTGCTGGAATTCCGTCAGATATCATCCACGTGGTGCCTACCAAAGATAGAGAGGCGTCGATGGAGCTTGCTAACAACCCCATTGTGAAAAAGCTTAGTTTCACTGGGTCAACTGGGGTCGGCAAGATGCTCACTAAGGCTGCGGCGGGTACGATGAAGCGCGTGAGCATGGAGTTGGGCGGAAATGCCCCCTTCATCGTCTTTGATGATGCGGATATCGATCAAGCTGTCGAGGGTGCTTTGATTTGCAAGTTCAGATGTTCCGGACAGACATGCGTGGTAAGTTTCTCCAAAGGTAATGATATCCTAGAAGTCGGATTAACAGATATCCTCAGTGCGCAAACAGATTGCTCGTCCACGAGGCGGTCAAGGACCAATTCATCGAGAAGCTCGTAGCCCGCGTAAAGCAGTACAAGCTCGGTCGAGGAATCGACGAGGGCGTTACACAGGGCCCCCTCGTTAACGCCGCTGCCGTCCAAAAGGTCGACGCCCACGTACAAGACGCGCTGAAGAAGGGTGCCGTCCTTCACACAGGCGGTAAGGCACCAGAGGGGCTCAAGGGGTACTTCTACGAGCCTACAGTGATCAGCGGAGTCACAACCGACATGGAGGTCGCACATGATGAGACCTTTGGCCCGCTGGCGGCTATCTTCTCCTTCAAGACGGAGGCAGAGGCCGTGGAGCTGGCGAATGCTACAGAGTACGGCCTTGCGGGCTACTTCTTCAGCAAAGACATCTCCCGAGTCATGCGTGTAGCGAGACGATTGGAGTGCGGCATGCTGGGCGTCAACACCGGTCTCATCAGCGCGGCGGAGGCACCGTTTGGTGGTGTGAAGGAGAGTGGACTTGGCCGGGAGGGCAGCAAGTATGGACTGGCAGAGTACCAGAACATCAAGTCTGTTACGATTGGCAACCTTGGCTTCAACTGAAGAGTCATGGCATGTTGGCTTCTGATAGTGGGCAAATCTGGGGCTTAGGGCTGGGCGTTTACTCTGATGACATAGTCTGCGGGATGGTGTATTGGCATAAAACAAAAATTTCGAGGTTTTGATTCAAGTGTTTATCCCATCTTTACGCCGTTATGATACAGCATGATGACGTCCGTGAACACATAGTTCCACCCCGCGCTGATCTCCCAATGCACAGACGAAACTAGAATCAGCCTACCCCGTGCTCAACTGTTGCCACGCATGTTTTTCTGATTTGACTTGGTTGAAAAGTTCTAATTAGACTCTTTGCGAGCAATTAAAAGAGATGGGGTGAAAAATCTAATCTTCCTGAATGATTTCATACAGTCTCCCGTAACTCTGCCCAAAACTCCAGACGTAACCGTTCCCAAACCATGCACCCTCCCAGAATTACCCCAGAAACAACAATCCCTATCCCAAAATTCCATTTCCATTACATACCGATGATGCAACCGACCTTTTTATCCAGCCATGACAACTCCGGTCTTGCTAGCTTGCTTTTCCAGATATCCCCGATGCTCCGGTTGAATGACAACCAACTCCGTTTTTGTTACGCCGGCGGCAACTGCGCCCTTTGCCAGCTCCTCTTCTATCCTCTTCAAACATTGGTTTGCTGGAGATGGCTTGTGCACTGTCAAGAGCTTGACGGCGCCAATGGCCTTCTCCAACGATTCCATATTTCCTCTGTACGATTCACAAGGGCTCGGGAGGGTAATGTCGACCTTTCCCTTGGCGAGACACCTCACTAGTGACCCGAGAAGCATACTGTTGCACTCCTCGGCGTCTGGTGAGCTGTGGTAGTATCCTTTCATGTATCTGCATCCGTCTTTGAGACATCGGTAAAGAAGGACGAAGTGGTCCAAGTAGGCCGAGACCAATGTTTGGCGGTGCTTGGCGATGGTTTCTGTTGACTGTCGTGTTAGCGATTTGACGACCTGACTGAGTTGATCGGCGGAGCAAACTTACCGAAGACTTCCGGGGGCCGAAGGTAGACAATCTTTTCGAGAGGAAAATTGTATCCCTCTGGCCCAGGTTTCCAGATGCGTGCCAAGTGTCCAAATACGATCCTTCCTTGGAGGTCAATCATTGACTCGTAGGTGATTTTCTTGTACATTGTCTCAAAGACTTCCGTGTCTCCCAGCTCCCAAGCAACGCATAGCAGATACGCATTGTCGGTCTGGTGCTTGACGCCCTGCATCCACGAGCGCGCCCATGGGCGAACGATGACGGTCATGTCGTACTTCTCCGTGATTGTGAGGACGTTGTAGAGACGCATCAATGGTAGCTTCTCCGGGACGAGGTTGAAGTGGCCATGAACAATGTTTAGTACGATTTCCATTGCTTCTGGTGAGTCTTCGGGCAGGTCGACGGCCCACTCTCCAGCACCCTCTACCGGACGAGCCTCAAGGAAGCGACCAAATAGCATGGCCTTCAGCACAGGAGAGCTTCGGCCAAGGGCCCTTGAGCAGACGACGAAATCTTGTGGGTGTTCTTCAACGTCGCCGCCGACGGAGAGTCTCAGGTCGCCGCTGTCATCGAGATAAATGGTCGGCGCTGAAATCAACTGAGCCACTTCCTCTGTTGGCTCCGTCACTTCTGTGATCTCAGTCACCGATTCCGTGACCACCATGGTGGAAGAAGCCATCTTGCTAGCGATGACAGCTCCATCGAGGGTATGATAGGGCAAGGAGAAGGACGCGCCCCCGAAGAGGCTGTTGGCCGGAGCTGTTGAACACATCGCGAACTGGCTATACGATCATCTGAGGTTTCGTCCAAAAGTTCTGCTCACAACAGACCTCGTGAGAACGGGTGAGAACGGAAGAGCGACGGGATCGCGTTCAGTTTATCATTACTTGACGCACGCGCGAGATCTAGGGTATCACACACCCGACGAACGAACCGGGATGTCGTCGCTTCGGCAGAGGCATAAAGGGGACCGCAGATCACAACGTTGATGCTCCGATGACATGACTAGTCTTTGTTCGGGAATCTGTCCCCTCTTTTTTCTAACTTTAGGCGAGAGATGGGGGGACGGCGCAAGTTTTTGGGACGAAAGGTTGCTTAAACAATGCGTTATACCTGTTGGTCCCAATGACCGTTTGCTGCCCGACCGGGCGAGATACTCACGGGGCATGGACCCGTTGAGTGTCAAGGCATGTACATAAATGACAGTAATTAGGAAGGGAAATACATGTTATGGAAAGGAAGGAAAGCAAGCTGCCCTCTCACAAACGGCGGTGCTCCAGCGCGGGTGCAACCCTGGGAACCTTGGAAAATCGTAATATTGTCGCTTTCAAGAAAATCCGGGTTCTTTGTGAGATGCAAACAAGGAACACGGTGGAACGGAGGTCGGAACAAGCAAGATGTTGAAAAGCAGGGCAGAAAAACGGCGTTCGGACCCTTGCTCGGCCAGGATGGTGGCCCCTTTGGTTCCCGTTACGCCAGGGCGGTTATGTGGGTGTTGTGGTCCCTTGCTTCCGTACCACACTGCAAACAAAAGAGGCCTGGCGATGAAACCCCGGGCGGCTATCCTGACTCGGGAGCCCTGGTGTTATTGCAACAACTCTTGCGACGAAGAGGCATAGCTTGCTGTGCGAGGTCGGTTTGGCAGCACGAGCCGATGTGAGACCCTTTTAGACCTCTGCTATACCGGATTGCAAAACGTGGTTGTCGTCATTGCACGTTTCCCGGCAAACCCTAACCGTCCTGAACTTTTTGATATGTCACCCCCTTCTTGACTGGAGTTGAGTCCGAGGTTTCCTAGCCCATGAATCGTCAATAACAGAAGTACAAGATTTCTTTTGCGCCGACTCAAATGCCTGAGCCTGGGCTACCCTGGATGAGTTTCCATATAGAAATCTTATCAACTTGAAAGTTGGAATATCTGGGAACGGGTTAACCCCCGCAACCCCCGCCTTCAGGGTCCTACACACCACAATGGGAATCGTATCATTTCCTACTTGAGCCGGCAGGGCACCCCTCCATCTGCAGACTGTCCCAATTGAACTCCGAGCTCCCCTGCGCAAGTGCCGTCCGTCTCCAACCGGGTCTCCAAGGCACGCGACACTAAAGAATTGCGACCGCAAGCTTGGCTTTTAGCGTCGTTCGGGCGGAGGACCCGAAGTCTTGAAAGTAGCGTGATATTCCGGTGAGAGTTGATGACCTGAGAATGCGACCTTCCCTACTGGACAGCATTGAAGCCAAGTTTTCTACATTGCCTTCTTTTTTTACTTTGATAATCTCGGTGAGCCGGCTCGGAATCAAGGCAGCACCAGTGTTCCCTGTCTATTATGTCCCGGTCAGCATGACTGACCTCTTGCGTCTCCACAAATGTGCACGACATTCTTCGTTTCCACATGATTAAGGCTGTGTATTGTGCACTAGGAGGTCCCGATGTGGAGATGTTCCTGGAAGTCAAGGGACGAAAGAGGGGCCTAAGGGGAAGACGTCCACTTACTTGGTCCTTATGGGTATGTTTAAACTCCCTACCAGGTAGTGTGGGTCTGACCAGGGCAAAGCAGTGACTCTCAATGGCCAAATTTCTGTTCGACGTGCACAAGAATCTCGAAAGTAATACTGCTGATGTAATCGCGAGAAGCATGGGCGAAGATACCTGACAAGGGGGTTAAACTTTGGCCTGATACCGTAGTATACAGCTCTCCTCTTTTCTCGTATGGTAAACTTGGCAGAGAAGCGCTGGGGATTTCGGTAGATGCTTTTTCTTGGTGGACCACAACAGCTTCTGCTCCCTCCTTTGTTTTGACACGCTCCAAAGCGCCAGGATCGTCTGGTCTCACATTCAACGTCCATTTACACTGTTTATTTTGTAATCTGAGGCACCGAGCGCCTCGGACCGACGGGTTCAAGAAAGAGAGTTGGATGTCGAGTCGAGTCGCGCATACCTTACTCACGACGTGCATTTGAGCAGCTCTCATAAAGCACAAGGGCGGCTATTGATACGCCTTCCTTGATTATGTGGACCTCTGTAGGTACTAGATGACTTGGAGTGCTCAAGAAACTGAATAGTACGCCGATGTGAATGGGCATGTCAGGTTTCGAATTCGTCGTGTCACAATTTGAAGTACGACTTAAGACTCAGGAAGAAGGTATCGAGGATATGACGGTTACAACCCTACATGGTCAGCTTTTGATCTTGAATGTAGAGGTACATGCGAACGACTACAGATGCAGATGTCTTGATGGTGATAAAACACTCTGTCGTGAGTCAGAGTAGACTAATAGTCGGCTTGTCCATGCTGGCAGCAGAAGTTCCATGCTCCTAAGTGTTAATCGTGAGGGTTCCATATCAGATGGCGTGACCCCGATGCAGCACCGGGCACAGCAGGACACTTGTGGCTCCAATATCACATCTCATTATTCTGCATGGTGTCTGGGGTCTAATGCCCAAATATACTTTGTTCTGCTACCTGCAAAACACAAGGCTGGACTTTCCACCGTAGGTACTCGGGTATTACTCACCAGTCCCGACTTCAACTACCTTCATGCATCCAATCATATGGTGCATTCGATCGATAATGCCACTTGGCCTCACACTTTTGGGGGTGTAGCAACCATGGGTAATCATCTTTGACAGCTTAAAGAAACGGCGTTTACCTGCTTCGTGCTATGCCAGCAAGCGACGGCAACTCGCAGGATAGCGAGGATCACGCAACTGTTTGCAATCACTCTGAGCCAGTTCATCTCTGTGCTTCCATCGTGATGACGTCTGATGTGGCACTGAGACCAGCAACTTGTCTCATCAATGAGATACCTAGCTATTTTTACCCTCCTCTCTTGGATGACCTGTTGGGTTGGTTTGACCTTCAACCCGTCATGTTGTTCTCACTACGTAACGGCCATCTGAAGTTTGAATAAAAAGACACCGAAGACCACGCGAAATCGGCCATACCAATCACTTCTGCATACTCACCCTGCACGAAATATTTTGCGAGCTGTAGCAACTGATGACCGTGCAAAGTCGAGACTGAAATGGATCGTCTCTGGGCATGCATCGCCACGCGGGGGATCTTCAGGAACACGGACACATGTCACTGTATGTTTGTTTGCCAGGCTTCATTCTTTCCCCGATTGTCTGCGTGTTATCGATCGCCTCGCTTGATCCATCTGTGTTACCCGAGCGAGAAATCTGCCCCTTTGTCCCATTTGAAGTGAGACTGTAAGAAACATGGCACCGGGTAGGCGAATGGCAGGTTAGTTTGAACTCCGAGTTCCTTAAGCTGGGGTGACAGATGAGATATCATGTCAGAAAGGCCCTTGTCACTGGGCAAGGCGTTGGAGGTGTTTAGAAACTCTTTGTCTATGGTTTTTTATCTCTCGACCAGTTACACTCATGTACCCATAGCCTGGCCCTCTACTCCATCTGCTGGGACCAACAGGTACACGAGGTAGGTAAGGATAAGACGTTTGCCGAGATACAGCAAAGCTATGGTACCGGGACTTCTAAGCGACACACATTACATCACTTTGATTGAGCTCAAGTTGTCATGTGTTCCGGGGACTCGGTCTTTTCCAAATTGGTGGCTAGCTGTATGAATGCAAGCAAACACTCGACAGCAGTGCATTCAACCAGACTTTTGAATCGCAAAGGACGGCGGAGAAAGTTGATTAAGTGACTTGTGATGCAATTTGATCACACGAAGACAAAGGGATCTTTATTCACAGACGGCGTTCAGAAAATGATAACTTTACGCCCATGTGCTGTTTGGCCGTCAGAGTTCCAGTGTAGATACCTATGACGGTACGTACCTAGGCAGCCCGATGCGGGTGGTTGATTCGGACTTAGGAGAAGCATTTCAGACTGCGCAACGCGCCATCTCGCTTTAGCAAAGGCAGCATTGAAAAAAGGCTAAAATGCCCCTGCTTGCACTCATAAACGCCATCATGAGCCCATGACGGTTCGGCAAACGTCAAGGCAGACAGATGGACGAGCGTGCCTCAGCTTCTAAGCTTCAATGCAGTTGAGAAGCTAAGGTGCCAGGTGCCTGAAGGGAGGCAACCGTGGGGTGAAAACCTGCCCTGCACGCGAGCAGGGGGCTTTGACCCCAGGGCGGCTGTGAGTGGCTGAGAAGGTTAAGCGAGACGGCAGTCACACTATAACGTCCTTGTATTGGCCCGTGCTCAGCTGTCGGCAGTGACGTGCGTTTAGGCTCGATCAAAGCTCCCCCTCGACGCGGTTGACAGCCCATACTGAACCATCTTTCAACCATATTTGATTTCATCAATCGAGAATCTAGAAGAACTCCGAAATATCTGACGAGTACCTTACAACTGAGATATGGCATCTTGGGTCCTGGATAGGCCTCAGATCAAATAAAAAAATGCATCTCGTCTTCCACCAGAACTCTCGAACTATCCATCATAGGTTACTCCGTCGAGGATGAAGACGCCACCATGGCTGCAACGGCGCTCTTTGGCCGGCTTTGACTCACCGGCATCTGGGGCTGAGTAGTCCTAGATTCCCAAAGTCAGCACATACGCACAGTACCTTTGCCTTTACAGATTGATCGGGTCAGCCACTAGGACAACGCCGAGGCCAATCTCATGCGCCCATGGGCCGCGAACCAATCTGCCTCGAGTCCTATCATCTGCGCCATTGTCAAGCCTGATGCAGCTTATGTGGCATAAGCTGTCAGGCTTCAGGCTTCAGCATCAAAGCAACAAGGCTGCCATTTGAAAAAGGATTGATCTTCTTGATTCATCCCATCTCTCATCTCACCA